GCGGGTTTTGATGTCTACTCGCCGAGTTGGGAAGCCCCGACTCGACGAGTAGGACTGCCAGAATGAAACCCTATTTTTAAGGGTTTGACCCCCTATTTAAAGAACATAACACCTCTTGTGGCCTCCCTCATCGTCCTCCATTGTCCAGAAAACCCTAATCAGTGAGCTTGAGCTTTGTGTGAGTGTGTGAACCATTTTTGAGTGTTTTAGTGTGATTTTAAGCTTGTGAGAAGAAGAATAAGTTAAAGGACTCCAAGAGAAGGTTGTAGATCCAGGAGCAACATCACTTTTCCTTCACTTTCTGGTAATCACGTCTATACCTTGGCCATTTGTTTTCTATATCTTCTTATGGGGTAGTTTAGGGCTTTTTGGAATGCATTTTGGAACCATTCATGGATGCAAGCGTGATTTGGTGTATTAACTGCAGATCTAGAGTCTTTGAGGGACTCCATGGCATAAAGGTGCCAAATTTATGGCCATGGGAGTCCCATGCACCTTATGAGCCACCTTTTTGGACCTTGTGAACTAAAAACCCCATGTATGCACGTAAAGTTGGAAACATTACGTCACATAAGGACCTTAGGGGTCCAGATCTATGTTTTGGAGGCAATGAACCCAACTGAAATCGACTGAATAGATTAAGATCATGGGGGACTCGACGAGTTGTTCATGCAATTCGGCGAGTTGGGTCGTGGTTCCCCAACTCTTCTGTTAATGAGTGAACTCGTTGAGTCTAGGAGATGACTCAGTGAGCTGGACATAGTTTTGGACTTGGGGTTGGAGGAACTCGACGAGTCCAAGGAGGGACTCGACGAGTTGAGTCGAGTTGTCCCGATTTTAAGACAGACAGAACTCGACGAGTTTGTGAAGGGACTCGTCGAGTTGACTAGGTTGACCATGAGTCTGAGTAGTACATGAACTCACCAAGTTGGGAGATAACTTGACGAGTTGGGTTGACTGGGAGTTGACATTGACTTTGACTTTGACCAAAGCGTTGACTTTGACCAGGGGTAAAATGGTCATTTTACCCTAGGAAGGATTATCAGATTTTGATTAAGTGTTATTATGAAAAGTATAGTCGGGGAGTCGCCGGAGCAGCAGTCAGAGATTCTTCACTCGAGTTTTCAGCAGTCAGCCTTACGAGGTGAGTTTCCTTCAGTAGGAACGGGTCTACGGCACCAAGGCCGGCCTGCATATGTGATATGATAGTAGCTGAGTGTGGGCGGGGCCCGAATCTTATAGCAGCCGAGTGTGGGCGGGGCCCAAATCTCGTAGTATTATTTGAGTATAGTTATGTGACTGTTTGATAAGAGTAGATATATTTATCGTCTGTGTGATATTTGTATGCATGTTAGACAGCGGAGTGTGGGCGGGGCTCGAATCTCCATGAGAGTGGGCGGGGCCCGTATCTCCTAGTTGCATGTTATGA